AACAGCAGTTAATTATGATTTCATCATCCGCAAATGAAAATAAAGATATATATCTCCCATTTTTAATTGCATACCTTATTATATTGCTTCATGGTATTATAATGAAGCAATGTATAAAGATATAATTCTCTAAGGCCAGCAGATGCTGTTTATGCATTCATCAGAAATTATTGTCAATTAGCCATCTCATCACCGGCAACGATGTCCAGGAAGCACCACTAGGAGAACAGGTTATACACCCCTCTAGAAAGGAGAAACTGCTTCCCAGTTTTGAATGCGAACACCTCAGGTAACGGATCAGCCGGATCATTAAGCCAAACAACCAACATCCCTTCCTGAGAATGTTCACTTCGGCAGTGCTTTAAGTGCCCCCATGCCGCAAAGATATTACAGACTTACTAATATCCATGCCTTTTCCAGAATTCAAATCGGAGACTAAGTCTATGGCAGCCGATCTCCCTACTCCTGTGCCAAAAGAGCAATGTAAAAAGGCATTCAAAATTGCTGAATAAGATAATTACAGAATACCAATAAAAATATCATATCTTATACTATCTGCATCTACGTTTAGATATTATTATGTCTTTATATTTACTGCAGCTCGAATAAATTCCTTATTCTGGGTATCAAATATAATATGTGAAGAGTTCATTTGCTTTAAGAAATCTTCCACAAAGATTTTCGTAAAAGCTAACATTTGGGGAGCACAGATAGCCGATACTAAGTAATTTCTAGATTGCTGATAATTTATTTCCGTAATAAGTGAGCCCTTGAATCTTTTGTTACGCTTAATTTATTACCAGTCAACTATAGGATAGTATGGAATAGTATGGGTTTATGATAATACGGGAAAATTATATATGCTTTTGGGAGGTATATTTTCTGCTAGGAGTTTTCAAGTGAAACTGAGTTGTAATTTACTAACTAAAAGACTAAAAAAAAAATATGTAACAATTTCCATAGTTGTTTTCTTTGCGTAGAACTCAATTAGTAGAACAAGGAAACTAAATTGTACGTTTAAATTCTATTAGACTTAGTTTAAACCAAGGATGGGCAAACTACGGCCCGCCGGAAGGTTATATCCGGCCCGTGGATAGAATTATAATTTGCCGGTCGGATGCAAATTAAAAAAAATATGTATTTATATATTATATACCATCTCCTTTTCTACTTTGTTTAAATATTATTTTTTGCTTCCCTTTTTTTCAAAGGGCTGATGATCTTCTTACTTTCTCTATTTTTGTTCTAAAAACGTAAATTGACGGTAATAGCAAGCAGAGATAGCTTTCGATTGCTATCTCTGCTTGAAGTTTCAAAAGTGGAAGTTCTTTGTTAGTTATAGCTGTAAATTGGCACCAACAAGCGTTATCTCTTTCTCTGGGAGCAGACATATGGGAATCCTATACAGGTGAATTAGACATCTTAGAAAAAACTTAATCTTAACTTAAAACTTAATAAGAAAACTTAACTTGTTTGCTGGGAAGCTAGTTAAAAACGACTTGTCTTATGTCATTTCCCGAGGTTAAATTCAGTACCCTCAGTAAACGAAGAGAAGCTTAAGAATTATGAAGATGGCTTGAAAAAACTGCAATTTGAGTTCTAACGAAGATTTCAAGATTTCAGTGCCATTCAAACAGAACTGGATAATTTTACGATGCCTTTCAACATAAATTGTGAAGCAGTTAAGTAAAATTTGCAGCTTGAATTAATTGAGTTGCAATATAACAATCATCTCGAGCAGTTTTTTTCTAAATATGCCAAAGTTAGAGTTTTATGAATCATTATCGAAAGTAAGTTCCCCAAATTTAATATTTCACGCCCAGAAATCAGTGCTATGTTTGCTTCAGCTTATATATGTGGACAAGCGTCTTCAACTATGAACCTTAGGAAGAATTATTTCAGAAGTAGAGTGACAGATGAGCATTTAGCCTCGTTCCTTAGAATCAGTACATCTCACTTCGAACTCAATATAAGGAACTTTTAAAAATGAAATCGCAATTTCATTCATCTCATTAACATATTTAAATTGTAATACTCGTAAAAATTTTAGAAAAAATTATCTTGGCCCGCCAAACTTTTTCTTTCCGATTTTTGGCCCGCGACTGAAATCGTTTGCCCATCCCTGGTTTAAACACTAGTGTAACCTTCTTTGTCTACCGGATGAATTTTTGCACCGACTTTGCCTTCTAATCCCAGAACAGGAACAGCCTGAAGTCACAGAAACTGAAACATAAAAAAATTAACATTTGCTTTTTGTAAGCTGCACAAAACATCAATGATTCAAAATATACACAAAATGAAGTTGTAAGTATTATGTTAATTTTATTAACAGTTAAATTTTAAGTTAAAGCTCCTTTCCTGTCAAATTCTTAACTTCAACTTACTACTTCCGGCCGAACGTTTTTGGAATCTTGTGAATATTAATGAGGAGGGGAGCGTATTTAAACCACGAAGTTAAGAGTGAGAGAGATCAGAGTTTTGATTACGCGCGTCGACTTTTTGCCACTCTCTCTCTCAAAGCTGTTATTACGCTCGGCCGTACTCAGGCCCTTGTAAGCTTCGTAGTCCAATAAGTTAAGGGCCAATCGATTTGAATCTTGATAGCTCGGCTATATTTCTTTAACTAATCTTAGTTTTAGTTTAATTCTTGTCTCTTAAGTTCAAGCCCAAGTGTCGGCTTTGTTGTACACTCCCAGGCGGAGTTTTGTTAAATCTATTGGAATAATAGGGCTAGTTACCCTTCTATATTGTTGTTTGTCACCCGAACTTAAGCGATTATTCGCTTATCAGTTCTTAAGATTCTTCACTTCCAACATTAACTTAGAATTACAAAGTGAGGAACTCTACAAAGTCAAATTTAGTTTTAAAGACCAATAACCTGGCTCTGCTACCTTGCAAATTCCAAGTCAATTTTATTCAGAGACAAACTCATCTCTTTCATAGCACAGTGCTAAAATAGCCAGCAATAGCAGAGTTTTAACAAAGATAAACTGCCCAGTCCATTTGTTACATTTTGATTCTCGCTCGTTATTTAAAACTTGTTTTATTTACATATTCGTGTCTAGTATACGAAATGCAGGAAAGATTTAAATTCAAATTAACCTTGCAAAGTTATTACTTCGGAAAATATTCGGAATTTAGGCTTAAGGGAAACTGACAAATGGACTTTTATACGCATTTTTAATCTCCTTAGTTAGATATTTGTAATTATATTCATGGTACATTAAAGTTGGTAATGTAAATGCAAAATTAATAAATAGAATTTAAGATGTATTCAGCCAGTTTTATACTTCAAGCATAGGTTTGCATCTTAAGCTTCTTAAAATGGAACAAGAGAGCTGTGCATATTTGGCCTTTCAGCATTAATGAGGAATTTGCTGTTTAAGCGAGATATTTCCTAATAATCTGATTACATACAGACTCGGAATGCGAAGGAAAGAGTAAGAGCTTCAGAAAACCCATTAATTCTCAGCCACTATTTAATGGGTGGTTGGAAGGCATCAAAAATTAGATTTCGCAAGGTGTCGCAAAAATTTTAGTATATCTATCTAAAGCTTAAATTTAACGTATTTCGTAGGAAATGTATTTTTCTTTCTTTTCCCAGAGATATGTGTGTTTTAGTCTATAGCTCTTCTTTACTTTAATTCAATTGATTCATTATTCGTTTATTTATATTAATTTAATTCATTATTTGTTTGCTTCTATCGTTCTATTCTTGAATTATATTTCGATCAATACTAAACAATCATAGACTGACAGACTGACAGATAATCTAATTATCCTCGAAAAAGGGCAACAATTAATCTAATTTCATATGTTTTGATGATAATTTATTCTAAGAAAAGACGGTGTCCTTAAGCTTTCTTCGTTAACTATTAACTCGCGTTTAAGAATCAAATTTAACTCGCCTTAGAAGCGAGTTAATGTCAACTTTCTTCTTTTCTTTGAAGCTATTTTAAACCTTTTACAATACAAAGATATGAAGACGGGAGGTCAAATATTAGTCGTTTGATAGAAAGCTTGACCAGTAATCATACTGATAAAATCGTCATTTAAAGCAGAAGTTACTCGACATTGGTTGCCAGCTGTGGAAGCTCAGTGGTATAGTATTTACTTATAAAGCAAGAATATCCTAGATTAGAATCCTAGATTTCTACTAAGGAGGTTTCATGTAAATGTATTCATTTGCTCTCTTCAAAATCACTTCCTTGTATAAATACACTTTACTTTAAAAATAAATGATCTTCAACTAGGGATAGAAGAAAGCACAGCCTGATGCACGAGAAAATTCTTTACCAATTGAATCGTTTGGAGGCATTGATCAATTCTAACTAAACCGTATTGAAACTTGTAAATTTAGTAGCTTTTATTGACTGAGGAGTCTTTGTATAACTTGATAGCAGGAGGTTAACATTCTAGACTTCTGACATACACCGAAGCTGTGCTCTGCTCAGATAGGGTATAACAATTCTTTAGAACTCCTTCTGAGCAGTTTAGTTTCAACTGTGATATACCTGCCGCAAAATAATTTTCTCTGGAAAATAAGAGTATTTTAATGAAGATGAAACAAAGTGGTATGGTAACAAATGATTTCCCCGCTTCTCATTTCTTTCGTAATGAAATGTCAAATTGATTAACTGTAAAGCTTCATATCAAGGATAAGCAAAAAAATCGTATAGAAATTCTTTAGCCGCTGTTTCTTGACAATGACTAACTGTTTTAATTTTTGTAGCTGTTGATTGACTTAATGCCCTGCCTGAAGAGTACTGAAAGCTAACAAAAATGCGAACTAATTTGTCACGTTTCAATAAATGTAATTCTTAAATGTAGTTAACTTGATACTGCATTTGATTTTCAAAATTTTAGAGAATTCATTTCAGAATTTAGAAGATCATAACAGTACGATGAGGATGTTATGAATGATAACACCGTTACTTTTCCGAAATTTTTTACTGATTATGATGGAATAATTAGGTAGAATTTTATTTTATTCTGAACAGCCACTCCTTGCAAAAGACCTTCTGTCGTAGAAGAATCTTCAAAGGATACCAGTCCGCTTTCTCCCCCTGCTGGAGCGATGGCGTGGTCAACAGACACAAATAACAACGATCGAGGCCAAGGCAGGGGGACATTGGTCAAGGAGCCCTCAACCGACAGGTCCTCAGACACCGAATCCTGTGACGATTCCGATCCATCAGATACGCCAGACGAAGGGAGTGACAGAGTAAAATTACTGAGGAAGATGAACTCTGAAGGTATGACGCCTCAAGACATGACACCACTTAAAGACAGAACGAGGTGAATATACTGTTATTGAGTATTTATTAATTATAATAGAGCTGAGGAAATCTTGAAATTTAAAAACGAAAATTTGTAATGTGAATATATTCAAACATTGTTGAACTATACTTAATAAATATATACTGTATCCTGTTAAAAATTATCTTTTCTCTTTTAAATTCTTACTAATCTGTACCTGCGAAAATTAATTGAGGCAACTAATGTTTATGCTGTAAAATTAACAGAGGAATGCTTATTTAGTTTAACGTCTCATTCTTACTTGTTTTGGTGTTATCAGGCAATCCGGATTTTAAACTACAACGTTTTAAGTTTTCTCGTGATTCATGTTTAAACTATCTGAACCCAGTTCCTTTTAATACACACTAATAAAAATTTCCCTGTCAAAGATATCATAAAATTTAAATCCCCAATTTTTATGGCATACATAGACATATTACAGGAACTTGTTGGTAAAATATGTGTATCTTCTAATCTCTGTACAATGTTTAAATGAATTTTTTGTGAGTTAGTTTACGTAGCAGGTAAAGCTAGAGCCTTTGGTAACCTTCTTCCGTGAAAAAAAGCTTCTTTAAGCTATGATGGAAGCAACATGTTTAAACGAAGAATAAATGGCCCCTGTAATCCTGATGAAACTGAGAAATTAGAGTCTTTATGTGTGGTTGGACAACCGCAAAAACGTAAAGCATTCAAAAGGACTAAAAGTGTTCTCAGTAAAATATTCATAGTTTGAGGAGAAAATAACGTTGAAATTTTTTTAACGGTTGTTTTCAGTTCACAGAAAAGTGGCAGCTTAAAATAAATCCATTGTTACATTTCTTGATAATTACTCTTTTCATTATAAAATACACTCAAAAACATGGAATTAGCTTTTTTCCCTGCTAAAATTACAAGGCAATTCTAGCCTTTATAATTCGGCTTCATTAAATGCTATGCCATATCTGAAAATCTATCCTTAGTCTTAGCAAGATTTTCTCTTCGGGTAGCTACTAACGAAACGTTTTAATCAATTCCTCTTTCATTTGAATAAACATATCTAGAGTATCGACAAAATTTTATGCAAATAGATCATTGTGTTTCTTTCGGAAGAACATTAAATAAAAGTGTTATGGTCTCTGATATCTTTTGCGTATTGATCGTCAGTATGAGATACTGCGTGAAGAAACTGTCATTTTATTCATTAGAATTGTCTCATAAGCAAACTGCCACGAGAAATATTCAGTCATTTTGTAAGGAATTATCTCAGTGTCTGTAAGTTCTCTTGTGATAGTACATCTGTCTTGTAAGTGAAAAATCCATGGTTCAAATCACAACGATTTATTAAGTTTTGAAAAATCTAATAAATCTCTTCAGCGTCTCCTTTCACCAAGTAAATATTTCTATAATGCCTCAAAAATCATATACTATTAAATTATTCTATATATATTGAAATTTACATTTAAAAGGATTATTATGGTCTTTCATGTCTACTTCCTTTCGCACAATTGTGAATAAAAATTTGCGTTAATGGATTTTACAGTCAATTACATTTAAGTACTTACAATTAGTATTACTTAGGATTTTACTTAGTATGCTTCACTATTTTAATCAAACAGAATATCAGATAATTCTGATACAAAAATTGAAATGCCAAATTATTTACAGTGTTATCACTGATAGAGCCTTCTATAGACCTCATTACACTAAAAGTCCGTATTTTGATTAACTGATTTGTGCAATATGCTTATATATGGCGTACTAGTTTCCCTAATGTTTTGTAATTAAACATCGAAATAATCTTTGAATATTTTGAGGAAAGTTATTCCTTTGACAGTTTTTCCAAACAAAATCTTAAAGTGTCAGGTGATTTGGTTAACTTCATCACTGTCAAAATATCCGTTATAATTTCCCAACATCACATTTGAAGTACTAGTAAATATAAGCTCTATTTATTTTATGAAACCTGCACTGTTCCTTCTCATTAAGAAAAAAGTACATTTCTGAGAAAAGCAGCTTCAGGAAAGTTTAAGAAAGGCTTCTCCAGTTGCACGGCTTCTTGAAATTTTACATCAAACAAAGCATTTTCTTTTTTCGTACAAAAGAGCATATCGCCTTGCATCATGTTCTTTGTTTGTTCTGCGAATTTTCTCATCCGTGTAAATGAAATCCTGCATCGTCAATGAAGAAAAACTTCTCAGTTCAGCTGCCAAGGTCTTTTGAAACTAGGCACAAAAGGCGCGGCGTTTTTTGAAATCAAGAAATAACTAATGAACTGCGTATGTAAGGTTTCAGAGCTACTTAATGTCGAACATTTCTACGCGGTTCAAAACATTTACCTCTTAGATAGTTAACATTTTCCATTCTGCAAATATTTGATTGTATGTAAGGTTAAATGAATAGCGCTTTAAGTTTAAGAATAATAATTTCCTTTTTAATAACCTTTTATGTGGTATCAAAAGGGCTCTAATAGCACAAATTACAACATACACAGCCATAGTTTCTGTTCTGCAAAGAAACTTAGACTAGAAAGCATTGAAATCCAGCATTTTACTTCTAAAGTGTAACACAGTTCTTTAGCTAAACTTCAAATTACTTGGCGTCACGCAATTAGTGACGTTTGAGCACTTACAGTTCAAATATTCAAACTGCAAGTTAACACCAGTTTATAGAAAAGTAAAATTTATTAAGTTCTAATTTGAATACAATATAGCCCAGTGTTCTAATAAAAAAGAGCTTTATTATTACGCTCAAGATCCCAGGTGGACAAAAGCCGGGCGACGGGCCGAATGCGACCCTTCTATTTGCTTAATCCAACCCGTTGTGAAATCTTATGCAACGACATTTTTGTGTGTTTACTATCCGAATTTTAACGCAAACTACTGAAATCACGAGGACGAGTGCACATCTGTTGTTATAGTTTATATGGGCATATATACGCGTAACTATATTAACGGTCAACATGAGAACCTTAGATATGCTTAGAAAACACGCGAATCCCCCGAAGAATATACTCCTAGCATTTCTAGTACCTTTAGTATAGAAATTAAACATTGATACTGTTGAGGTGAAAAGACTGATCAGAAAAGGAAGCTTAGGATATTTCACCTCTAAATTTTATTTCAGAATGAAACAGTGGACATGTCAATTATTTGATGACCAATATAAAAGATACCGTTTTTATGTACATGTAATTTTTTAAAAAATTCCTGCGAAGAAGAAGTGTCCCCCCCCCAATCGCGTCCTGCAGACAACAGGGGCAGAGCAAAAGTTCGTTGCACCCTTTCCTCTTGATACCATAAAAAAGAACTTTTGGGCCAACGGCTAAAGGTACTTTCCCACCCCCAGCTCAAGATGAATTGTATATTTATAATCACAAATTCTTCTCAAATGACATAGAGAGGACGCACATGGGATCCAAGCTATGGTTCTACCAAACACGCTTAGCCTATATCTCAAAGCTTAAATTAAATTTGACGATTACTGTCATTTAGCTTCAGCAACTCTGTTGTCCTTGGTACAGTGAATCGCAATATTAAGTAAGCTCATAGTTTGGAAATTATGAGAAATCTCGACAAATTAAGTCAAATCATAACCGTACACGTTCTGCTGTTTCTTGTTATCAATGAGCAAATTTGCATATTACAGAAGTGAATGACGGCTTTGAAGACACGAAAATGGCAGGAAAATGTGTGGGGATTTATTTAATTTACTTAACAATTAATTTATCTTAAAGCAACCTTTCCTATCGTTCTTGCTTTCAACTCACATTTCCTTGCCAAACTGCAAATTGTCTAGAGCGCGTACATTGAAGTGAGGTAGAAAGAAGTTGGTATTTAAGGGAAGGTTTTAAGAAGGTGAAATTAGAGAGTGTTTTTCCTGCCACGTTGCTATCTTTGAATTCTTAGCGATTAGATTTGTCTGGTGTTGAGCTTTCTTGGCATTAGGCTTGTTTACGCTGACCTTTTTCGAGTCACAGCCAGTTTGCACGATAGTTAACCTGTAAAGCTGTTAGCTTAACTTAACTTCATTTAATTTTTAGTTATTCATCAACTTTCGAGTTAAGGCAAAATGTATTAGCTTTTGTAAGCACAAGTTGGTGCCATCTGCAAACTTTATTCGACATTTTTACTCCCTCTTCCTGATTATGTTTAAGACTTGGTGATTATTCACTAATCAGTCTTCTAACGTCATTAATCAGTTTATGATAGACAAGCATACAAGGCGTTATACATGAGCAACGAAAAACTCAACTCTTAAGGAAATTAAATAAAAAAAACTTCGTAGTTTTGCAATTTTTTTGAGAAAAATGCAATTCTATAGCTTTGCATTAAATAAATTAAGATTTAAAAAAAGGGCTTAATGCGTGATAAAGGTTTTAAACATTTTATTCATACTCCTTGAAAGGAATTTTGTAATTTGGTTTTTTTTTAAATATATGATGTAAAGGTAATCAAATTGCTCTATAGTATATTTTCAATAAAAAGCAGAATACTTAAAGCATGCCATGCAGTAATCGTTAACAAAAGTAAAAAAGGAATCTCAAGGACAAACTTAGGTAGTGCTCTTGGGAATACAGTAAACTAAAACGATTCAGTAAAAGCACATGTTTTTGTTTAATCAACTGCCATCGATAGCCAATTTTCTTCTGTTACGCTTAGCATTTATAGTTTAACTCGTTTATATATTTTGATATTTCGATATTTTACTAAGACATTTATTTCATCCGATCTCTTATGTTGCTTGGCAATCGATTTTCGTTCCAAAAAATAGATTAATATTTTTCTATTAATAATAATAATAATAATAATAATAATAATAGTTTGGTAATAAGCTGTTCGCTTTATAAATTATTAAATTTCCCCAAAGCATTAATCTGAAAAAGTGGCATAATCTATAAACGTTTTAGATTCTTCTTTTAAAGTACTAATGACTAGCATATTAATTTTTCTTTCTCGTCGCATAAAGTTGCCTAAAACGATTCCTTTTCTAGATATATTTATAATTTTTTAGGTCTGAAAGGC